TGACTGGCACAAGGTCACCCAGCTGGCTTTATACCTAACGCAGGATCAGAACTCACAGTCTCCCTATTTCTAGCCTAGTCCCCTAACCACTACACCAAAGTGGTTGCCTTACCTATATTTGGGCTTTAAATTTTTTAACAATGATTCAGTTTACTTATCATACTAAATAAATATAATCTGAACTCCACTCCTTGCCAAATGATTATTAGTTCATCTGGCATAGCAGTTTAAAATCTATACTGGCTTCATGAAATTTTCACTTTGTGCCTTTTTTTTATTGGGGTTTGAACGAGCTTTACAAAGCGTAAAATAATATGTAACTGTGACAGTCAATTGAGTTTTACTCTTTGCCAACCAGTTATTTTACCTATTTAATCCCTCTCAGACGCTATAGGACTTTTTATGTTCATTCCAGCAACTTTCACACTTTGGCAAAAGCAATTACATCATAGGTTCTGCCCTTCTGTACATGTATGTGATATTATGGCACATATAAAAAAGGTAGGATCCACATTGCAACATTGTGATAATGTTGGATCACTCTGAATCTTTTTGTTTTACACTGTGGACACTGCTGATTAGATTGATTTCTTATTTATTTGGAGGCCTATGGGTCATTTCAATCAACCAATTTTGAGTGGCATACGACTTCTCCAATTTGTAATTTGGATGAAAATAAATACATAATAGTAAAAACTAAAATGAGAAGGGCACAACACAAACAATTATATGCACCAGGAATCAAATATAAAAAACCCACCAGCAACTATTAAAATAGTTGTTGATTCTGCAGGACAGTCTTATAATTCTTTATTGGCCAAGTGTGATTGGACACACACAAGGAATTTGTCTCCAGTGCATAAGCTCTCAGTGTATATACAGTGTACATGGCCACAAGACTTCACAAAATAATCTAGGGTTCAGCAATTTTCTGAAGATATAGAAAGAGACTATTCCAGAGGACAGGGAGACCAACAGAAAAGACCCCTCTGACTAAGGAGCTACATAAGCAGCTTGCCTTGTTAGGTCCTATAAGATAGAGAGATATCAATGGAAAAAGGTATGCCCAGTTATATTCAGGCTCTGAAACATGCAGGGTTTTTAAAGGTGACAAGCAAGCACCTTCTTTTGAGGACAGAAGCCAACTGACAACTGGTGCTGCTCTCAAAGCATGATTATTGTGTGAATGCCTCGAGATGTATTCATATTTATATGAACACCACATTTTGGATCTTCAGGTTTTAGCATCAGTGTTCTTAGACTATAGATACTTATATCAAAATGAAGGACCAAGCTTGAACTTGTGAACATGGAGACCAAAGAAGATTTTGGCAGAATACAGAATAACAGAGTTGGAAGGGACTTTGGGAATCTTCTACTCCAACCCTAACCCTAACTTCTGAAGGCAAGCCATTTCAATAATTACTTTTTCTCATTGTCAAGAAATTTCTCCTAAATTCTAGGTTGGATCTCTCTTTAAGTTTCCATTCGTTATTTCTTGTCTTGCCCTCAGGTGGTATGGAAAATAGGTTGTCCCCCTCTTCTGTGTGACAGCCTCTCAAATATTGGAAGATTCTATGATGTCACCCCAGTCCTTTTCTTCATTAGACTATACGCAACCATTCATTATATGATTCAGCCTCCAGCCCCCTAATCATCTTTGTTGCTCTTCTCTGCACTCTTTCCAGAGTCTCAACATCTTTTTTGTATCATGGTGACCAGAACTGGATGCAGTATTCCAAGTGTGGTCTTCTCAAAACAATATATAATGGTACTAACACTTTGTATGATCTTGATACTGTTCCAGAGGTGGTATTCAGCAGGTTCTGACCAGTTCTGGAGAACCAGTAGTGGAAATTTTGAGTAGTTCGAAGAACCGGTAAATACCACCTCTGACTGGCCCCATCCCCATCTATTCTCTGCCTCCCGAGTCCAGGCTGATTGGGAGGAAATGGGGATTTTGCAGTAACCTTCCCCTGGAATGGGGAGGGAATGGAGATTTTACAGTATCCTTCCCCTGCCACACCCACCAAACCACACTTACAGAACTGGTAGTAAAAAACTTTGAATCCCACCATTGTACTGTTCCTCTGTCGAGGCAGCTTAGGACTGCATTGGCTTTTTTTTGGCAAGGATGTTGGAAGAGGCAGAACAAAAAGGAAGCACCAAGGAGGGTGAAAGGCTGCAGTTTACTTTTGCTTATTCACGGTGAACTAATGATGATAATCTCATGAAGTACTGCAAAGGAATTGCAGTATTGTGATCTGCAAGGAGCCCAGTGTTGCCTCCTTGCCTGAAGAGAACTCAAAACTACATCTGCTACAAGCCCAAGTTTAGGTCTTGATTACTGCAGAAGAAAATGTAAAAAAAAAGTTTGAGGCAAGAGTTTCTAGACTGCAAAGTGTGAGAGTCAATCAGACATGTTATGGGTCATCTGTCAGAGAGCTTCTAGTAGATCCTGCCCTGAGCTAGATGGCCTCTAAAGTCTCTTTTAATTCTATGATTCTGCAGTTTGTTTTTGACTTAGCATGATGAGCAAACTCATTATGGCTTACTCTTAAGGCAAGAGTGTTCAGCCAAATAGATAAACAGAGCTGGAGGGGGTAATTGCAAATATGCACTGCCTCACCCCTTTGTACTTGTGTCTATATATCTGCTTCCCTCCTCTGTTCCCAAAAATCTGGTCCCCTTAAACATTACCAGAAATCTCTTTTATTGCCCTTACAAGGGATAATGTGATTTCACTGAATGTGACAAGGCTAATAGGTTTGCACAATACACTTCAACAGAACACAAAAAACTGAGTCAGCAGGAGGATAAGAGAGGATTAGTTTTCTCCCCAAATAGCCTCAGGCTTGTTTTAGTTTAAACTGTTTCCCCCTGCTCAGCTGTGTCACGTGAACCTGGAAAAAAAAAAAGAGGCAATGCAAGATTCAATCTCCTTCTAGGGACAAGGGCCTAAAATATGAAATAAGATGGGGGGTGGAGGGCATCTGGCTTTGCTTTTCACTCCTACGCAGGGGGAAGGTGAAACGGAAAGGGAATAGAGATGGCTAAGCCTACCATCACCATATCCAGTGTCTCTTAACTCCAGTTGAGCCATGGTGACACTCTCTCTCCCCCCAAACTTTTTAAAAGCCTGAGATCTCAGCCAAGATGGCTGCTTCTTTTTTAATAGACAGGTCTGTTTCTGTCATCCCCCCCACCCCGATCAACGCCTAGGTATTCTCTGAGGCAGGACAAGCAGATTTGTGTCCAAGTGTGCAAATATAGTTAGGAGTTTCCATAAGGAATCAAAAGCTACTAATTGCCCCCATCAGACTTGCTACTTCATACATTGCCTCGCAGAGTATTACAAAACATGTTGGGCAAGTGTAATACATTCTTCTCTTGTTCAGTTATCTTTATTTTTTCTGGACATGTCACAGATGCTTGATCTGAAGGTTGTATTTGCTGAAACTGTCTGCTTTGGGAATTTGGCTTCTAATAGCCTGTCTTCCTGCACGAAAACAAAGTCTTTTATTTATTTGGCTGAAGCGACAAGTCTTTCTTTCCTGGATTTTGTGACTGATGATCTTTGACTTGGGGAAAAAAAAAAATCCTTGGAACAACTGCGGTAGCATTTTGATTAGTTCTTTGATTTCTAGGAAAAGGATCAAACCTTCCTCGGGAAATTTTAAATTCATGATATCCATGTAGTGTTTCTATAGCACAACTGGTTTAGGCCAAAAGAGCCCATTTCTAGTTCTGAGAGAATCCTGTGGATATTCAAAAAAAATAAAAAATAAATAAATAGCTGATGTGTAATGGCTGAGGGACTCTACCCAAAATGGCTGATAAAAGATATTTAGTAGAAAGTAAGTATAGTTCTCCTCACTGTACTCTAATCCTCCCCCCACTGTGTTTTCTCAAGTCATATTTCCAAACAATATTCTGGGTTACAACCACCCATCATTTTTCCCCTTTTACAATGAGATCTGGTGGCATTTGGTAAAAACAATACTGGAAATGGCTACCGACTTGAAACATGCTGAGCGATGTCCCACATTTTCAATAAATATACTTAAAATAGTAAGAGGGAGGTTGGATAGGGAGTGTAAGGACACTGAAGGAGGTATCTGCAATGGCATGAGCATTGTGCATACATCTATCTGTGCGTGATAATCTGCAAGATGGCAGTGTGACTCATCAATGTCACATGCATTAAAAAGGCAATTTTGATCATGAGGTTTTGTCCATCTTGCAAATTTTGATCTCCCTTCCTCCGCCAGGTAGGTGTCCCTGATACTTGGATCGACCACTCTTGTTCAAAATGAAAAACCAGGCATCCATTTTGGGCCTATTTGATTCGCCAACCAGAAGAACAAATACATCACTGCATGTAGCAGCTACCATCATAAGGATATTTAATGGTTGTATCACTTTATGATGGCATCATAAATGGAAATTTATGATGAAACCACATTTGAAATGCTGGGCAGAGTTTATAATACTTCGACAAAAAATACGAGTAATGATATTCAAAATGTTTCATATAAAAACTGTGTACAGATCTGGTTTAAGCCTGTTTTGCTGGAACTAATAGGCCTATTTATTTCTGGACTGGTGAAATCTGAGGAAGGGAATAGGGTACTTTAGCTCCTTAAGATGGCTGATAGGACATGTTTAGTGATTAATGCCACTTTTAGGGAGGGTAAAATGCCACTTCCCTTGAAGGTGGTGTGTCCTCTTGAAATCCAGCCATGTTGGGCAACTTCCACCTTGGCTCTAACTTTCCCTTTTTAGGAGAGCTAGTACGGAATCAGGGTTTCAACATCTGCTCCACAGATACTTGCTGTGGGATCTTTGAGAAACTAAGGGCAGTGGATGGATGGAGTTCAGACACAGTTCATTTTCCATCACTAGAGCTTTGCCTCTTGATTAAAGATTCTCAGAATTTTGAAAAGAAGCAAGACAGTTAAGAACACATTCAGGAAAAAAAATCTGACAAACATTACATATCACCTGAATCCTGAAATACAGTTTAATTTATCATAAACTCTGGTTTGCAATACAATCATGGAGTGAGACAAGAACTTTTGTCAGTCACAGTGTAGCTCTGTATCTGTTCTGCTTAAAAGGGCTAAAAAGAATAGTGTTTTTTATTTGTAAACTTTACAACTGATTTTAAAACAGAATTGCCATTCTCACACCAAACGTTTATAAAGGTCCTCTTTATAGTACACAGAAGTACAGGCACCCAGGAACAGATATGGTATATATATTTTCCCCAGACAAGTTGTTTTAGCTTTTGTGCCTTCACATATATTTGACTCCCAATACTGTAGCCAATAATGGGCCCTTTTCACAAATGAATTCGGGCTACTTACATTAAGTCTTCTTCAAATGCAAGCCCAATTAATCAAATATTTATTCTGTTTCTTCAATTGCTTGGTCTTCTTCCAGTCTAGTATCCAAAAGTATGACTACATACTTAATCATTCAAGAATATAGGAGTGTTTTCCTACAGTGTCGAATCTTTGGCCTAGATTGTATCATCAAGGAGCTCAAAGGTAGGTAAGCCTAAGAGATCTTCCAAACCCTGTCATAAATCAAGTTTCCTTATTAGCAAAACCTATTCTCAGGTATACAGAAAATAATATACAAGTCAATTTCTAAGAGTAAAAGTAAATGGCAGGCAGCTTTTTCTCCCTCTTCCTGCAAGGTAGCATTTTAAAATATTTTTTCCATTAATGAATCCTGCACCCCGAATAGGCTATATGAGAAATTGATGAATAAAAACATTTATCAATAGATGTAGTCATTTTATCTATTGTTTTCTATTACAGACAAAATCGTATTCTTGTTTTGCTTTCTATTCACCAGCAATCTCTGTAACCTTAGCCTTGGAAGAAGCATATCTGGAAATTTTATAACAAGGTATGCATTCCTAGCTCAGCTATCACTGATTACATCTGGGTATGGATATTTCAGTTTATGGAAGTACATATATTCTTCCTGATCCTTCCATATGCAGAAAAATATTACACATACAAGAAGTCAATAACAATTAGGATATGGTCACCAATAATTGACCTCAACTTGATGACATATAATAAAAAAAGCTGTAAGTGTGAAAAGTGGTGTCCTTATCTTAAAACAACACTGCCTCGTGTCAAATCTTGTGTCAATATTAAAACACCACACTTCATTTTTAAGCAGAGAAAGATTTTTTTTTCAAGTAACTAGCAAGAGAGTTGCAAGGAAAGGTGTGAGAACAAGTGAAATAAAGACTTTAAGAACCTGAAATAAGTTTCATAATTTTATAGGTCTTGATTTGGCATCAGATGAGTATTTATTATACTGCATCAAGGACACCGTTCTCAATCCTTGAACAAGTCTAATGAGACTATCTTAAGTAGGTTCCCAATATTACAAGCTGCACAAAAGTAACCATAACCATCAGTAAATGTTCAGAAGGCACTTGAAACATACATTTATGTTTTATAATTCTGCTTCTTAAGACATAGGAGTAGGCTGGCAACAAAGCACACTGCACGCCTCAGATGCAGGTTTGACTATCCTGCTCTAAAAAACAGAATAATTCTGCTGTGGCACAAACTGAAATAGGTGTACTCTGAACTGGAAAAATTCCATCCAGATATATCTTTTTATGGGCTTGCTTTTTAAAATGTGTATCTGCTTTGATGTAAAAAGCTTTAAACTGGTCTTCTATAGTTGATTACCTGGAAGCAAGTTTTGCTGAAATCAATGAATTTCCATGCCAATAGTATCTCACTGTTGCTTCAAGTGATCATGACAGAAGCCATGATGGATAATCCCTCTGTTCATTAATGTTCTTAGATATATTATTACAATCTGAAGAAGGAAACCCTTTAGCCTGGGATGAAAAACCAAACTGCTTTAGCTTGCAACACTGCAACCTTGTGCATGTACTGCCAGCTGCTGAATTGAGTTCACTGTATGACCCTAAAGACGTCATTGCTCTTTGAACACTTACAGTGGTGTTCCACAAAATGTTCTACCAACCCAAGCATGGTTTTCTCTTAGCTGCCATGCACTGAAATCTTCATGTAGTTGTTTGTGTTGATCTGAGTGTCCTTCAACATAGTCTAGAGATTGGGATAACTCATATTCTACATAAAGAGGGTTGAATGTTAAAGGGAATTGATCATTCCTAGATCTTTAGCTTACTCAGTGAATCCTTGACAAAGCACACTAACAGTAAAACCGAAGTTCAGCCTTTTTCTCTCAGAGACGACACCGAAGTTGAGTCTTTTCCCCTCAGAGACGAAGAGATTTGCTTAGTCTTTCTATCTTGAAGAAAAGACTATTCACCTGCCATCTTATTGAGGTTCTTTTTTCAACACAAGAAAAGATTCTCTAGAGTACGATTGGGAAGGTGGAAAGAAAAAAGAAAAAAATCCCACTACCTATCAAGTCCCATGCCCACAATCAAAGAAGAACAGCCTTCCTGAGGTACAGTTAGGGTACCAAACTGGTTGCCGGAGTTGATGTCTCTATTACTAAATGTACACTTTGGATGATTCAGAACATGTTCCTTAATAGTTGTAGAAGATTCATGTGCCCAGGAATTTCAGTGCATTTCCTTTTCTTCTTGAGGAACATGATCTGATCAGACCACTGCTGCAGATTCACTATGATTTGAATTCACTTCTTAATTTAGAGTTCATCCTGGTTTTCAGAAAAGGGAAGAAAAGAACAGAAAACATAATTGAGCGAGTAAAATACTGAGAAATTATTGCATTCGTAGTCTCAGAACCCAGCTTCTTCTGTCCTACCTGCTACAGTAATATGAGCTGTGTTACATCTTAAACAGAGGAAAACTCTTTTCATTAACTTTGTTACAAATGTATTAAATATTTCCTAGTTGTTCAATATTGGTCCCTTTCCTCTTTGGATTAAATTCTTATGGCTCACTCTTTTTCATGAACATACTGTTGTGTTATTTTGCAATGATCTCCCAGGGATTGCAAAGGACTCCCATATCAGATTTTTGTTTACTACCACCTGTTTGGGTTGCAGTCCCATTCAAAGTCAGCCTTCTTAACTCCACCGATCTGCAAATATTTGAAATGATTCAGTTTCAACCATGAAATGTTGAAATTGAAAAAGGAAAGGAAAGGAAATGTAAGAATGCCATCCTCTGGAAACAAAGTGGTTTTCTGTTCATAGGATGCATTTTTCCAGGCTTGTATTACATGGCATTTTTGCTTTTTGGCAGTTTCTCAAACCTGGCACGCATATAGCAACCCAAATTCCAGTCACCAAGGCCAACATATCTGGAGGGCATGAAGGAGGGGTTCGTATTAGTAGTTGATCATCCAATAAGATGGGAAGCCCAAATTTCAGTGATCTGATCAAATATTCAGAAAAGTTATTCGACCTTCAGGAGCAACTACTACCGTATCTGGGCTGTAAATATTCAGGAAAATCTCTTTGTTAACATCTAATCATTACACTGATTTTTTGCAGGCCAAATGTGAAAGCTCTTAACAATTTCAAAGATATGGTTGGTACAAGATAATAACATTAAGGTATGTTTTTGAAAAAATATCTTATAAAATATTGCCCACCTTTTTTCTGGAAGATTGTTTTTTCTTTTTTTTAAGGCTTTCTACTTTCTCCATCAGTAGTTCGGCTATGACTTTTGCATCGTGACTTTCAATCTGCTCCCCCAAAATATTTTTCTTTAAAAACAGAGCAAGAAAGAATGATCAGCTCTGCTCAAGATACATGCACATACAGGAACAAGCAGATTTACAGATGGTTTAATAGTAATGTTTGGTGTTGCTTATGTAGGTAATGTATCAGTAGTGGGATTCAAATCCTGTCACTACTGGTTCGCTCGTCGGCATGTGCTCACTTGCGCGCGCCACTTCTGCGCATGGGCAAAGACGTCTGGGCGGATGGGTGGAGTCTCCAGCCCCTACCGGTTCACGTGAACCGGGGTGAACTGGTAGAAATCCACCACTGTAATGTATATGTAGGCTTGATACTGTTGTCTTTGGAAAAACAAAGTGATACATATAAATAAAGAATAGCTTAATATTTGGGCTGTTGGTCTGAGCTTGGCAATTTGGTTGCAAAAGTTTTGTCGCCATTCGAGGAGACATTGTCAGTGTGCTTTGAATTGTGCTCGTCTGTCAGAGCACTGGCCTTTAAATAACTTTTGATGTGATGCAAATTAGTGTGGATGTTGTTTGTTTGGCTACTTCTGAGTCATGGTAGCGGAATAAACAACATCCATACTAATTTGCATCACATAAAAAGGTATTTAAAGGCCAGCGCTCTAACAGATGAGCACAATTCAAAGCACACTGATGATGTCTCCTCGAATGGCGATGAAAGGTTTGCAACCAAATTGCCAAGCTCGGAGTTTACACCGACAGCCCGACTACCAACCCGAGCTACTTATATTCAAATACATTTCATAGCTTAATATTGAGAGATCAGGAGTAAGAAATCCCCCCACAACCTCTTTTTGGCTTACAGTACTTAAAAGGTGAACTTATAGTCAGTGAGTGGGGCTCTGCATATGACCAGGTACATTTTATTGGATGCATTTCTAAGATAACACAAGAAGATTATTTTGGAACATATATTAATCTACACATATGTATTTTCTAAAAACACTTGTAAATGCCCATCCTATATCTATCTTAGCAAACCATGGTTTATTAAGATAGAGAACCAGGCATCTAGTACCACATGTCTACACTGGAAGGTGGCTTTCCTGCAGGTTTTCATAAAAGAGTGACTATGGCAAGATGACACAGGTGTTAACCCTCAAATATTCTAATCTACTCCTTGCAACTGCTGATATAGATGGCTTACCTTTGTTCCTTGATAAGGATAAAATTTAACTGTGGGATAGGCTCTGATGCCAGCAGATTGACATGTATGAGCATAGGCCTGGCAGTCAACTTTGCCAGCTTTCACTTTTCCTTTAACTGTCTTTTAAAACGGGGGAAAAAAGAAAAGGAGCTGCATGTTAAAGTTCATTAGTTTAATAATTAGTTTTACTACTAAGCAATTAGGTGAAAGCAGTTAACTTGTCATTCATTCATTCATTCATTCATTCATTCATTCATTCATTCATTCAAACTTTTATAACACTCCAGTCTCATAACTCTGTGCAGTTAATGCTTCTGTCATCCCAAATAACTGATTTCCTAACTAATCAGTTCTCAAGAGCTTCAAAATCAATGGATCTTGGTTCAGCCATTCTCAACTTTTTAGGCTGTTTTAAGGAAAGGAGAGAACTTCCATCCCACCCCAAAATGTAGTCCATTCCTCGCTTGAGGATTTGCCGTTAAGAGGTTTTGTTTGTTTGGAATGATAAAGTAGTTCTAGCATTACTAATACGGACATAAATCAACCAAGCAGATCCTGGGAAAGCGGCCTTTGAACTATCTATTATACAGTGAATTCCTGTGAGAAAGTCACACTCATGTATGAGTTTGAATGACTGAAACTGATTTTCAAAGTTCAGGTTCAGACACTTTCTATCCCACAAACTATCCCTGCTCGTGATCATCTCCTCCTCATTTTTTTATCCCACCTTTTTTATATATACCACCATATAGTCTTGTGGCTATACCTATTCAGAGATAAGCTGATCTTGGCTTATCTGCACATAAATACAGTAATTCAAGGTGGCAAAAATACCTCATACTCCTGCCTCCTATACTCCCCCCAACAATCCTGTGAGGTTAGTGGGGCTGAGAAAGTAACTGGTCCAAAACCACAAAATTAGCTTTCAAGGAAAGCCTAGAAGTGACAGTCTTCTGGTTTCTAGGCCAGCACCTTAACCACCAAACCAAATAAGCTAATGAAGTTTGCCATTATTTTTTCTAGATGCTAATAGAGAATTTAGTTGCCAGAAAAGAACTATGCTTAGGTAAGTGTATTGTCAACATTTCTATTTCTGACATAGACTCCATTTATTGTTTTGCTTCAACCGTTATTGCCAACTTTTGAGTTTTGAGAGACTATATTTGAAGTCCTTGGTGCTCACTAATGACCTTAGCTAGATTGACATTACCTAGGTCCGTGATGGCGAACCTATGGCATGTGTGCCAGAGGTGGCATGCAGCGCCCTCTCTGATGGCACACGAGCCGTCGCCCCAGTTCAGCTCTGCTGTGTATGCTTGTGCACCACCTGCTGGCCAGCTGGTCTTCGGGTCTCTGCCGCACATGCGCAGGGTGCATGTGTAGGGGCTGTGTGTGCTTGCGAGGGGCGCATGCGTGTGGGTCTGTGTGCGTATGTATGGGGGGCAGGAGTGCAGGCATGGGAGCATGGGGCATGCATGGGGGCCGGATGCGCATTGCATTTTGGGGGTTCGGGCGCATATGCGTGCATTTGCACGCACATGCACTTTGGTCAATCGGTCTGGAAAAGGTTAGCCATCAGTGACCTAGGTGTTCATTGTGATATCAGGATCACCCACTGTGATGTTAGGAGCATCATGATATTGCTCATCAGTGATGTTGCTCACTGTTGATGTCATCTATTTAAGTAACGAAACATCCACACACAAATAAGCAAGCTTAGAAAGCACCAAGGATTCCACATTTCAACCCTGAGCTACATATATTTTCTTCTACAGGAGACTGTATTTGAATGAGAAAAATAATCTAGAGGTTAAAATGCTAGATATCCTGGTTGGGATATAATTTGGGGTCTACATCAAGCAAATTAAATTGAACAAATATTTTCTGATGCTGGAAAATCATAAAAATTTACCTTTGCGAGTATCTCAAACTCTGGAGCAAAATTTTGGCAAGGGCCACACCAAGGCGCATAGAAGTCAATGACCCAATGCTCCTTTCCATTCAGAACTTTATCACTGAAGGCCTGAGGTGTCAGGTCCAGAGATACTTGAGGCAGATAACTAAAGAAACAGAAGAGCCATAGGATTCCAGTGAAATCAACAATGAAGTTAGTACCTTCATGTGAAGGAGTTCAGAGAATCTCCGAGTACAACAAACAACTCAATATTCTTAACAGAGAATATGCAGAGATTCTCTTAGCAGAGATTCATGAAAGTTCATTTGACTGTACATTTATCATCATCAAAGATGAAGAGCACCTACTGAAATATTGATCAGCCTGAGTTTCAGAAAAAAGTAACATTTTACTTTATTTGAGTGATTATAATCACTCAATTCTTAATTCTAATTAAGATTAATTAGAATTCTAATTAAGATTAATTAGAATCTTAATAAAATTTTGAAGATCTCCAACTATTTAAATGCTGAATCAAGTCCAAAAATTTATTCATCAAAAGGAGCTAGGGTAGGCCAGAATTACTGGTTTTAGACGATGCATTATACACTTGCCTACAATATAGTATGAAAAGCATTGCTATAACCATTGCTATAAACTTCCACATTTCTAAGAACTCTTCATCAGGCAAACTGATTTTTTAAAGCAAAAAAAAAAAAAAAAAGTTTGATCAAGTTGTGAAAAAGTAGAGCTAAGCAACTCACCCAAGTGCCCATCTTCGCAATGAATAGGCATCTCGATGCCAGCCATTGTAGCTACTGTTGAAAGGTATAATATAAAAAAAAAACAAAGTTACCTTTCTTCTAAAAGATTCAGTTTTGAGAAGATCTGCATAAAAATATCCTTACCCGGAATCTGACTAATAGTGCGCCCTCATCTGGCGTTTCATACAGCAGTCATCCCTAATAGGTGCTATTGGGATCTATTTCACCCCAATTTATCTAAACATCTTTTAAAGTCCCTACACTAGATTCTCCACATCTCACCACATCTCAAGGGCAGGAATTCCACAAATGAGTAGTTAAATACAACTGGCTAATAAAAATGGTGCAGAAAGAGATTTATTCCAAAGAACAACAAAGCACTACGCTAGGATACCTACATCAGTATGCTCATTTAGTTTAGTTAACGGTGAGATCCACAATATGAATAGTGACATTTGAATATAAGTCATATTATACATTTTCTTTTTGATAAATAGAGTGATCAAATTACTACAGATCCTATTGTTCAAATATTGAGCAACAGGACCTCGGGAAAAAAAAAAGATATTTTGGAATACGTAAGGTGCACCTATATAGCACCTATATTCAATTCTTTAAAGGAGTTGTACACTTCCCCTGGATTGTGTGGTTGTATTCTGCAGCTGCTGTGCAATCCTGGAAAAAGATGCAATGATGTAAAGAGTTGCAAGTAGCAGCTATAGTTGCATTTCCAGCCGTGCCAAATTACTAATATGCTTTCAGTTATGAAATAGTACACAACTGTAATGAATAGGTTTAATCCAAATCACTGAATTTTGTATTAGACCATCATTATTTTTCCCATCTACCCAAATGAGCCTGTAGTACAGTGGACTAAAGCACTGTTATTAACAACTGCTGCTTGCAATTACTGCAAGTTCAAATCTCACCAGGCTCAAGGTTGACTCAGCCTTCCATCCTTTCAAAGGTAGGTGAAATGAGGACTCAGATTGTGGGGGCAATAAGCTAACTTTGTATAAATATAGAAAAGTATAAGGCTATTGCTTAACGCATTGTAAGCCGCCCTGAGTCTCCGGAGAAGGGCGGCATATAAATTAAAGCAAATAAATAAGTAAATAAATAAATACTTGCTCAAATCTTCAAAATACACCACACATACAAGCATTTTTAACTAAAGCATTTTTGCATGAATTTAGACTGGAATAGGAATAACTGCATTACTCACTAGTGCTGATAAGAGGAAGCCGATTTTTGTGGGAACAGCCTGATTTCAGGATAGCCTTGAATATTTTCTTGATGACACAGAGAAAAATATTTTTGGCAGTCCACACTACCGACTACAATCAGTCCATTCAGCAACTAAAACAAAGGATTGGATTATTCTAGTTGAGTTGTAAAAATTGCTCCAATAAACCATCCAAACATAACTGCAATAAAAAAATAAATATGTTTTTTTTAAAGAAAACCTACCCAATTACCTTGTCATCTGAAGAGTTTGCTACGAGTTTCTCCCCAGGCATGTACCCAGGGCTTGAGTTAGCAAGAAAGTATACTGGCATGAAATTTGGTAGTCTCCTTATCATCCCTCTATAGATGGACTGTTTCAACTCACTCAATTTCCCTCCAATGTAACAGGAAACAAACCCTGACAGATTTTATACAGCTTGAGGCTGTTCTTTGGCAGTGTCAGAATAAGTGGAAAGATACCTTTTTAACACCAGTACAACTAAGGACAATTTAAGACTATCTCACTCATAGGCAGGGTAAGAGATGAAAGCAACATCTTTTGAGGAGACAGCAAAAAAAGTAGCTGCCCTGCATATTAGTGCACCAATTACATACATGTTAGAAAAGGCCCCCAGACTATCTTTATTTTTGCATGGATTTCAGTTAAGACACCACACTGGGTGTGAAAGGAAAGAATGCACACCTCTCTGTTTCTCCAAAATGAAAAGCCTCTGAATTATATGAGCCTATGTCCTAGGTCCACGATGGCAAACTTATGGCACGTGTGCCACAGCTGGCACGCAGAGCCCTCTCTGTGGGCACGTGAGCTGTCACCCAGCTCACGTCCACTGCGCATACGTGCATGTGCCTCCCACCGGCCAGCTAATTTTTGGTATGCGCAGGAGGCGGGGCGCATGCCTGGGAGACACACATGCATGCACGGGGTCACGTGCGCGTGTACGGGAGGAGCACTGCACGCGTTCCAAAAGTGCAGAAACAGGCCCATTTCTGGCCTCCGGAGCCTGAGGAAGGCCATTTTTGCCCTCCTGGAGGCTCGAGGAAAGCCTCCGGAGCCTGGGGAGGCCGAAAACGCACCCTCCCCCCTTCCCCGTGGTGCAGGTTGCTAAAATTTTTGAATCTCACCTCTTGTGCGCATGCGTAGGGGAGCGTGTGGGGGGTGCATGTACGGGAGTGTGTGTGCACATGCGTGTGTATTGCATTATGGGTGCTGTTGCATGTGCACACATGCACTTTTGGCACCCGAAGAGAAAAAGGTTAGCCATCAGTGTCCTAGGTGGTGAATTGGGAGTTTCTATATGTGAATAATGGTTATGGGGATGATAGTAAACCAAACCTTTAAGATCTCATTATGAAAACAAACTAAAGATGAAATGGTAGTAATCGGATGAACTACAGCTGATGTTCATCTAGCTAAGTTTCTCCAGTGAGTTTCTAGTCCAAATTTGCTTGTACGAAAGTTAAGGGAAAAAGCAATTTGGAGATGTTTCTTTGTAGCATCTTCCTGTTCCTAAAGACAATATTTTGCAATTGTAATCAACCAGCCAAGAAGTTATCATTTCCCCCGTAGTTTGCATGAGTTAATGTTCTTTTTCTGGGTTTCTTTTCTCCGACATTCTATGCCATGAATAGCAATGCATTATTCAAAATAACTGAGGAATTTAAACAGACCAGAGCCATAAATCAGATATGGAATTTCAATAATTTCAAAAGAAAAGCATAACCCTATTTAATGTCTATTTTCACTGCATTTAAAAATCTGTTGCACTATTCCAATGAATTCAAACTAGGGAATTAGTTGTTTTGGAATATCAGTATCCGCTACAAAAATGCAATTCATAGGAGCAAGCAGGTAACTTGGACCCTGCTTATGTTCAAGTCTATTATCTGCCTACTTCTTATGACAAAAAGGGAAGAAAATACTGAATGGACTAAATCAATAGTTGTCCATGGCAAGCTTAAACTCAGATGAGGAAACCAACATTGAGTGGCCAGTTCCATAATTGCTGGACTAACTGCTGCTTGAGGAGTTTCAGAGGAAGTATAGGAAAACCAGCAGGCACAGCTGCTGCCAATCTCGGAAGATCAGGACCCTAAGTTATCATCATTCGCCCCTCCAGTACAAGGGCTTGCCACGTGGAGAGCAGAATAGAGAAAGGAACGTTACCCTTCCAACACTGGGGTTGTTTTATTTAAGAGCAGCATGCTCAGGCCTCTCTGTTGGCAACAACTTTTAATTTCCTCTGACTGTGTGAGCCTTGACTCCCAATTTGAATAGAATGGCTTGCCTTCAGAAGTAGTGGGTGCTCCATCACTGGAGGCTTTTAAGAAGAGACAGGACAGTGCCACTTGTTTGAAATGGTATAGGGTTTTCTGCTTCAGTAAAGGGTTGGGCTAGAAGACCTCCAAGGTCCCTTCCACCTCTGTTACTCTGTCTTTGAGCTTGGACCTGGAATTGGCTGATGAATCTTCTACAACCCTTGGACTTCATTTGATCACTCTTGTACCTGCTCTTTTGGACTGGAACTTTAAAGCAAGCTTTTGGGGAACTTGTTTCCTCTGCTCTGGGCATGTGTGCAACTGCACTTGCATTTCCTTTTCCTCTTGTTTATTTATTTCACGGATGTATCAGTAAAGTTTGCAACCATCTCTCTAGGGGTTTGTGTATGCTTCCCCTGGAACAGGACAGGAGTTCTTTTATCACAGACAAAAAATATGTAAAAAATTATGATAGACAAAGTATATTAAAATTAAATGTTACGGAACACTGAGGGAGTTTCCACGGATGGTATTTTGGGGGGAAAATGCTGTATGCACTCTAAGACAACTAAAAATAAGCAATATTTGCTTTTACCCTTGCCATCTTCTTCCATTCTGGCATTAAAGCTTGGCAGGGACCACACCACGGAGCATAAAAATCAACCACCCAGATTTCGTTATTCTTCCTTTTCTTCACTAGCTCAGTGAAGGTATCTGGTGTTAGGGATATCACTGAAGGGTTCATAAGATCCTGAAACACAGAATGGAAAAGATTTAATGAAATTCCTTTTCACCAAACGGTGCTAGGCAACACTTCCTCTGGGGGTATAGGTAGCACTTCTCATGACTATATCAAGGTTTAAAATAGGAAAAATTGGTGTTATACAGTTTACATTTCCTTCCTTGTAATTGCTTATGACCTTATGATTATTTATATTTTACTTTGATTGTTTTAAATTAAAATTATTTATTAAATGTAATAATATATAATGTTTTTAATGTATCGCAGCAACATTTGCAACATTTTTTTAAAATATAAAAGTTTCACTAAATGAATTTAGGATCAAAATTAATTGCCATTTTTTTCATACATATCTTACAGGCCAAAGAGTCTAACACATCCTTGAATTATTTCTGGCTTGTATACTTCAGGTTTTGTATGATGCTAACTGGACCATTGATGTTCTAATTATATTTGTTTTCCTGTAAAGCTGTTGAGACTCCTGTCAGATTGCAATGTGGTAGAAAATGTTAATAAATAAATAAATAAATACCTCAATAAACTCTAAGATCTGTTCAGCTGAGTGATGTCCTCCATATTCATGCGTGTGAGACTGATTGAATACCACAGTGGTTGGATAAGCTCTAATGTTGTGCTATAAAAGATCATGAAGTAAAAGGTCTTGAGAAATGGCAGGAGCTAGGCCTCCTTTCATTCAGTACTCTGGCAAGCGCTTTCTTCTGAAAACTAAACCAAAGCACCCATATCCTATATCACTGCAGTCATTTATTTAAAAAAAAACAGAAGTGAACAAAACACAGGTGTCAGATGGGATAAATATTAGTCAGGTTAAAAAAAAAGTTTTATATTGCAATTGTATATATTTAAGTCCCAACAAACATGGATAAAACTACAGGTTCAAAGTTACACATTGTAATTCAAAGAACATGATTTTAACTTCTGAGAAGTGCTTTGAACTTTTTTTTTAGAAGTAGAATTTAACTTAAGGAAATAAACATATTTTCTGATTATTAAGACCCAAGCTCTTGAGCTTTAACAGTAAGTAAACAATAGATTTGTCCAGAGATATCTGTTATCTGGATATTTATCTATTATAAAGTTATAATTCTATAAAATCAGGTAAACTATTCTGCCTACATTCTATGCACTTTATTCTTCATTTTCAAGGTTTAAGGTTCATAAAGTTTAAAAGTTATAAGATCCTCAAAGAATTAGTGTGTCTGTGCATGTGCACCCCAGCAAGTATATGTGTAGAAGACAGTCTTTCATCTAAATAGAAACTTTAAAAAAGATGTAATTTCTCGATTCCCCCATCATAGTATGTTAATATGTGTAAGCGTATGCCAGTGTAAGTGTATGCAAGTAATGTTACTTGGAACTTACCAAATTGCAAATCCCTTCATGAACCGTACAATCCAATGTCCCAAACTTGAGTTGGCCATACAAATGCTTTGATGCTTTCCTCAGTTCTGGCAATAAAGCCCGGCAAGGAGGACACCACTAATATCAAAGAGAGAATGAAGAAGAAAAAAATCTCCCCCGTCACTAGAGAACCACAATTTTTGGTTTTTTTAAAAATTTTTTAAAAAAAATTTGTAACACAATATGACAAACATATAACATACAACATATAAATATATCTTCTTTTTTAAACAATTTCTTAATGGTCTTCTCTCCATTTTATATCTTTCTCCCCGTGTTACTTTTATTATTTCATTTTCTTCATTGTCCCTTTTTCTTTGGTTACATTGTATTTTCTAACACTAATAACCTTATTTTTATACATTTCTATATATTATATACATTTTTTACATTTTTAGATTTTCCCCTATATTTATTATTCTCTATTTCTAGTCCCAAGTCATTCATACCATTTATTCTAAATTATGTAATAATCTGTGTCTTCTTTTTCTTTAATTTCTTTTGTTAGTTTGTCCATCCCAGCACATTCTAAAACTTTTTCTATCACTTCTTCCTCTGTTTGAGTCTTTTCCTGTTTCCAATTTTGTGCATATGTTATTTGAGCAGCTGTTATGTGTAGAATCAGATATTTTATTTCTTTGGTGTATGTTCTCATGAATATTCCTAATAAGAATGTTTCCGGCTTTCTTTCGATTGGTTGGTCTACTATTTTTTCTAGCCATTTCTTTATATTTGTCCAATTTTTTTTTTGCTGCCGGGCACGTCTACCCTATGTTCCATGAGTTTTCTTTCATTTCCAACAGGTTGAGGTATTATTTGGGAACATCGTTGGGAGTCTTGTTGGTGGAAGGTGCCATCTATAAAACATCTTCAGCTGATTTTCCTTGTATCCCGTGGATAATGTTAATTTTGAATTTACTTGCCACATTGTTTTCCATCTCTCCAAATCTATTATATAATTAAAGTTCTGTGCCCATTTCATCATTGTGTTTCACTATTTCCTCTTCCATTTTGTATCACAATAAGAATTTATAAATCTTACTAATTAACTTCTCATCTGTCCCTAGTATAATTTTATCTCATTCACGTTGTTCTCTTTGTATTTCATGTTTTTGTATCTTCTTTATATTTAGATTGGATCTGTGTGTATGTCCACCAGTCAATATCTCTGTTTAGATCCGATTCCAATTCTTGCTTTGATTTCAGTTTTCCTTGTTGTTCTATTACATCTCTGTATCTTATTATTTTATTTAATTCTATTAAGTTTGGATGTTTTACTGCTTCTATCGGTGAAAGCCAAATTGGTATTTTTGTATAATGTTGTTTTTTAATTTTCAACCAAATTTGCAGTAACACATTCCTTAATATATGTCTTTTGAAATAACTATGCATTTTATCTTTTCCGTCCCAAAGGAATGTGTGTCAACCCACTTGTAACTCGTGTCCTTCTATTGCTAATATTCTTTTGTCCCTTAGTTCTATCCATTCTTTTAACCAGGTTATTCTAGCAGCTTGATAATATAATTCCCATTCTGGGAGTGCTACTCCCCCTCTATCCTTTGTATCCTGTAAGAGTTTAAGTTTAATTCTTGGTCACTTTCCCTGCCATATAAATTTGGATGCTATTTTATTTAATGTTTCAAAGAACTTTTTTCCCCAATTTTATTGGTATGACCTGAAATAGAAATAACAGTTTTGGCAAAATATTCATTTTTATGGTGGCGATCCTTCCCAATAATGATATCTGTAAGTTTCTCCAATTGTCCAAATCTTTCTTGATCTGTATTACTATTTTATCATAATTGTCCTCTTTGATTGAGGAACCTCTTGCCGATAACCAAATCCCTAGGTATTTTATTTTCTTGTTTACTTGAATTTGTATGTCGTTTTCCAAATCTTTTTCCTGTTTCTTTGTAAGATTTTTAATTATTAATTTTGATTTATTTTTATTTATCTTAAGTCCCACTACTTCTCCAAATTCTTCTAATTTCTTAATCAGTTTTGGTCCTGATTCTAGTGGTTCTTCTACTATAAACACCAAATTGTCGGCAAAGGCCTAGACCTTATATTCTTCTTTCTTTATCCTTAAACCTTTTATTTCTTGATCTTCTCTGACATTCTTCAAGAGCACCTCCAATGTTAATATATACAAAAGTGGAGAGAGTGGGCATCCCTGCCTTACCCCTTTTGTTATGCCAAATTGTTCTGTAGTGTCATCATTCATAATTACTCTTGCCGTTAGTTTTGTATAGATTTTCTCTATCATTTTTTCAAATTTTGTCCCAAATTGCATCAATTTTAATTGCCCCATTAAAAATTTCCAATTCAAATGATTAAATGCCTTTTGGGCATCAAGGAAAACCAGCGAAACTGGCTTTATATTAAAAGTGGAACTAGAACTCACAGTATCCTCGATTCTACCTTTGTTACTTAACTACCACACAAAACTGGCTCTTGATGAAATACTTACAGGTGCAAAAAAATCAACAAGCCATGGTTCTTTCTCTTTGCCAGGAAAATTTTGAGGTCCAAGTGTAATGACGTGGGAATTCACGCTCTCCTTGGCAAAGGCCACTAAATCATACAGAATATTTTTCCCTGTAAAAGGAAACAAAAATAGAGATGTGGTGTAGACAGCCACCTACTGTTCGTTCAGCAAAAGACAGGCAAAAGACAGATGAAGATGAGAAAGAGAGCTTGAAGTAAACAAAAAAAATAAAATAAAAAAAATAAAGAACATGCGTTCTGAGGAAGGTTAATCAAGTTTGCAAGATCGTTGCTTCCCAAAAGGGAGTTTAATGTTTTTTTTAAAGAAGTCATAATAAATATACCACTCCTAATGAAAGAAAGCAAGAAAATATATAATAGAGATGATCTAGAAATTAGGAAGCATCAATAAAATGATATTAAATATGCAATGTATGTAAAGTAATATATAGATACCCTTTCCCCCCCAAAATAAGATATCCCCTGATAATAAGCCCAATCAGGCTTTTGAGTGCATTGCAATAAGGCCAAGCGCTTATTTCAGGGTTCAAAAAAATATAAGACAGGGTCTTATTTTTGGGGAAACATGTAATAGTATGTATAAGTAAGGAGTAGTATATACAATAGATAAGGAATAAGGGAACCACACTAATATGGAACTGTTGTAAAATGGGATCTTTTCTTCTGTTTTTGTCTTTAAAGAAAAAAATAATAAAAAATATTTTTTTAAAAAAGAAAGAAAGCACATGAATGCTACAAGTCAGTCTGTCTACAGAAGTATGTTTTAGAGTGAAACTCTCATCAATATAGACCAGTATCTCTAACAGACAGCTAGTTAAAGAAAGCTACAATAGATGAATGATCCAGTATTGTGAGAAAGCCTCTTTCAATCACCCTGAGCTTAATTCCAACAACCTTATGGAATAATCATCCCTGAATTCTACAGTATCCTAATTTTTTAACTTAAAAGTAGCAAAAATAAAATCAATTCTCCTTCTGGTGAACTGAGAGCAAAATTTGGGCTCCAGAAAACTCCAGTACAGGGACAAACTAGGCATTGTGTTAAATCAACCAGAACCAAATCAGTTTATGATGAATCTAAGGAATACCTATTAAATGGTATCCCATCTTCCACCAAATGAAAAACAGCTCTAGAAAGCTATAAATCTTGAGTAGGGGAGCAAAACAAGCAAAAGGAAAAGATTCATTGGCCATTTTCTCATTCAAAGGGCCACACATACCTCAAATTATTTCCCAAGCTGTGTTAAAGCAAGCAGTTTAGAGGATGACAGCAAAGGAGGGAGGAAATGGTTCAGAATGGAAAAAATGACCAATACAGAAACAGCTGAAAACTCTCCTAGTCGTATCTTCGCTTAACAATAGCAGTGTCCAAGCTTGCTTTTGATGTATATCTTAAATATGACATTTGGTACATGCAGATTTTTATTTTCCCACTGTGGTTAAACCTTTTGTTTTGGAAGCCATTTATCTTTTCTATATATCACATTATATTTAATATCAGAATGGCTAGACCAAGATTGTTGGCCCTTTTCCAAATGTTTATGTGTATGTGTGGGGCTGTGTCATTGGCTAGTAAAGAATAAACCTGAGGTTTGCAGGTGGGGCTAAGGGTAGCAGGGTATGCCTTAATCGGCACAAGTTGTTATCACACAACCTTTCTGACTCCAGAATCCTGAAAATGGGGGGAAAAAAATCTTAGTATTATGTCCTCAGCAACTTCATGGAGGATTTCAATGGGTGTTGCAAAAGGGGAGGGGGAGAAGGGGGGGGAGCAGAAGACAATGCAACCCTTCCTTAAAGAAAGGTTATCAAATACCACAACGTAATAAATCAGAAAGAAGCTATCTACTCATTTTGTACTTTGATTCCAATTGATTAGAATGTCAATGGCAAGGAACTGTGAAGCTGCAGTTAAATATACCTGTAAAAACTAAATTGCCTATCCAAGTTATAAGTGTAAATTTTCTATATAAAAATTGTTTACCATGGTGGATTTCATAGTTATCCATTCCCCGTCCTTTAAAGACCACTACACATGGTTCATAAACATACAGACTGTTACAAATATTAGCAGCAGTAAGACAGTCAAACTTCCCAACCTGTGAAAGAAACAGTTAAGTTTAAGGCAAATTTTCCACAAAATAAACATTCTACGTTCACTCTCATTTTTTAATCTACTTTCCTTTTCTTGTTTGTCCATTTTTTCCTCAAGATCTTTGTTGAGTAAGAACTTATCTTTCTTTTTTTGCTAATGAGAGCACTTGTCAGTTCTGCCAATGGGCCTTAAATGCAATCAAAGCCTAGTTTTATCCAAAGCATGTTCACACTGTTCTAATGTGCAAGTTATGGTAGAATCTCAAATCTTGAGGCTATCTTGCAACTTCATTATATTTTCCATTATAGAAGAAACATCCAGAGCTTTCTAATATTATTGCTGTGTGCTTCTAAATCTATCCCAACTTGAAAGGAGAAAGACTATTATTTTAGATGCTAATTCAGCACATGCTCTAAATTCTCAATGAAGCAGCAAGTAGCTGCTAATTTTCAGTATGAGAAAACATGTTTAACTCAAGTCTTCCCACCTCAAGGATACATCTTTAAGAAAAGGGCACGGGTGAGCAGATGAAGGTGGGAAACAAGGGACTAAAAGAAAATAGAAGAAAATGGGAGTGCACGCTCGCTGTCTTCGAACGGTGGTGTGCTCCGGCCCCCAATGCTCCTCTTGTTCCCCAGGTTGCACAGACCCTCAGGCCCTGGGCCTTCGGCTGATGCTATGCAATGCCAGGTCCGTGGTAAATAAAGCCCCCCTCATTTGTGATCTAGTTCAGGAGACGGGAGCGGACCTGGTGTGTATTACGGAGACCTGGTTAGGCCAGGAGGGGGGAGTCCCCCTCGTTGAAATGTGCCCACCCGGTTTTCGTGCATTTCATCAGCCGAGGTCACAGGGGAGGGGCGGGGGGGGTGGCGGTTGTTATTAAAGAGGGTCTTGGTCCGAGGGAGGCCACTGTTCCTCAGACGGCCGGATGTGAGTCCCTCCTTGTGAAATAGGGTCATGGGGCGCAGATGGGCTTGCTGGTTACATACCTGGCTCCCTGCCACGTGGTGACGGCCCTGCCCGAGCTGCTCAACGTTATAGCAGCGGTGGCGGTTGATACCCCCAGGCTTATGGTCATCGGCGATTTAAACCTGCCATCCATCGGTGAGGAGTCTGAGATGGCTCGGGAGTTCATGGCTTCCATGACAGCCATGGACCTGACCCAGTTAGTTCATGGCCCTACTCACACGGGGGGAAACACGCTGGACCTGGTTTTTGTCTCTGTCAGTGATTGAGTGATCTTGAGATAGGGGATATAGTGATCGAGCCCTTGTCATGTCAGATCACTCCCTCCTTCGCTTTGACCTTCGAATCACCACACCTCGCCGCAGGGAGGCAGAACTGATGAGGTGGTTCCGCCCCAGGTGCCTGATGGACCCGGATAGGTTCCAGACGGAGCTTGGGCCATTTCCTGAGGCTCTGGCTCATGGCTCGACTGAACACCTAGTGGCCGCCTGGGATAGGGCAGCCGCTGGATCATGCCTTTGTGGCCTCTGACCCGTTACCAGTCTCACCTGGCTCCTTGGTTCACCGAGGAGCTGAGGGAGATGAAGCGCCGGAAAAGACGCCTGGAGAGCAGTTGGAGGGCCAGCCGTTCTGAATCCGACCGAACACTGGTAAAGTCTTATATTAAGACCTACCTGGTGGCGATAAAAGCGGCAAAATGTAATTATTTTTCCGCTCTTATTGCATCATCAGATAATCGCCCGGCCGCCCTGTTTAGGGTGACCCGCTCCCTGGTCCACCAGGAAGCGCGGGAGGACCCCTTGGAGGGTAGAGCCGAGGACTTTGTACAGTATCTGTATGACAAAATCGCTCAGATTCGGGAACACCTGGACTCTGACTGGGTAGATTCAGGGGGGATGATGGAGGCAGGTCTTGAGAATATTACCTGGGAAGAGTTTGATTCTGTGGCTCCCGAAGACGTGGACAGGATACTGGGTAGACTGAGCGCGGCCACATGTTTATTGGACCTGTGTCCCTCCTGGTTGGTGCTGGCCTCCCGGGAGGTTATGCGAGGCTGGCTCCAGGGGATTATTAATGCTTCCTTGAGTAAAGGTGTCTTCCCCGCCACCTTGAACGAGGCCGTGGGGAGGCCTCTCCTCAAGAAGCCTTCCCTGGACCAATTATCGTCCAATCTCCAACCTTCGCTTCGTTGCGAAGGTTGTTGAGAGTGTGGTAGCGTGACAGCTTCCTCAGTACCTGGATGAATAGGCTTATCTAGATCCGTTCCAGTCGGGCTTCAGGCCTGGGTACAGCACGGAGACGGCATTGGTCGATGATCTCTGGAGGGCTCGGGACAGGGGTTGCTCCTCTGTCCTGGTTCTATTAGACCTCTCAGCGGCTTTTGATACCATCGATCATGGTATCATGCTGCACCGGTTGGAAGAGTTAGGGGTGGGGAACACCATGTTGCGGTGGTTCTCCTCCTTTCTCTCCGACTGGTCGCAGTCTGTATCGACAGGGGGGCAGAGATCGACCCCAAGGCCCTTGTATGTGGGGTGCCACAGGGGTCGGTCTTCTCACCCCTTCTGTTCAACATTTATGTGAAGCCTCTGAGTGAGATCATCCGTGGTTTCGGGGTGAAGTACCATCAGTATGCTGATGACACTCAGCTGTACATCTCCACCCCGGATCACCCCAATGATGCCCTTGAAGTGATGTCCCGGTGCCTGGAGGCTGTACGGATCTGGATGGGGAGAAACAGACTCAGGCTCAACCCATCCAAGACCGAGTGGCTGTGGTTTCCAAAATCCCGATATAGTCAGTTGGTGCCATCACTGACTATTGGGGGCGAGTCGTTGGCCCCCACGGAGAGGGCTCGCAACTTGGGTGTCCTCCTGGACTCACGGCTGTCTTTAGAAAAGCATTTGATGGCTGTGACCGGGAGGACTTTTTATCAGGTTCGCCTGATCTGCCTTTATCAGGTTCGCCTGATCTGCCTTTCTGGATCAGGACTCGTTATGCACGGTCACTCATGCCCTCGTCATTTCCCGCCTGGACTACTGTAATGCTCTCTACATGGGGCTCCCCTTGAGGAGCACCCGGAGGCTCCAACTGGTCCAGAATGCGGCCGTGCGGGTGGTTACTGGAGCGATGTGGCGCTCCCATGTGACTCCCCTCCTGCGCGAGCTGCACTGGCTCCCAGTGGTCTTCCGGGTGCACTTCAAGGTTTTGGTTACCACCTTTAGAGCGCTCCATGGCTTAGGACCGGGGTACCTACGAGACCGCCTTCTGCCACCAATAGCCTCTCACCGACCAGTACGCTCGCATAGAGAGGGTCTTCTCAAAGTGCCATTGGTCAAACAATGTCGACTGGCGGCCCCCACAGGGAGAGCCTTTTCTGTGGGGGCACCTGCCATCTGGAACAAGCTCCCCCAGGAGGATCCTGGATCTGCGCACTTTCCGCCGCGCCCTCAAAACATTCTTATTCCAGGAGGCTGGTCTGGCCTAACCTCCCTTTTTAATTGCTTTTAAATTGGTTTTATAATTGGGGTGTTTTAAATCTGGCCAAAGTATTTAATGTATTTTAAATGGTTTTTAACGTTTGTATTATGTATATTTTACTTTCTGGCTGTTCACCGCCCTGAGTCCTTTGGGAGTAGGGCGGTATATAAATTTAATTATAAATAAATAAATAAATAAAAATAGCAGAACGCTTCAAAATGATCAGGGTTTGAAGAAAAAGGCACTACATAAAACAATATTGTCCCTTTAAATCAAAGATTATTGAGCTTCACACACTTACTTGAATATTTTCAGCTTTAAGGAGAACACTTAGCTTCTTAAGGTCATGGGAATCTGACTTGCTGTTTTTGCCAAACTGAAAGAATATTAACCATCGATGGTGGGCCACGTGATCCTTGGAAAAGGCAAAGAAAACCAACTCAGGCTTTTTGAAGGAAAAACATATTAAACAGAGAATAGAGAAAGGGATCAAATAGATTACATGATTTTTCCCAGGTGTACATAACATGTCAGGTGATCTGTAGCTCCCCATATTATTTATTGTATGCATGCTTTCTCCCATTGAATAACTATCAATACGTATTTCTTCTTAATTCACGATGCAATTCTATGGAAGTTTCTTTGAAATGTGTATTTCTGTAGAGCCAAACATATGCATGGGTGAATGTGCTTTACTTATGCATATGCTGTATCAAACATATGGCATAGCAAATTAAATAAATTTACCAATAATATGTTCATATTGACTTTTTGTTCAAAATAGGAGAGTTTGAGCTTCCCAACAAAAACAGATCTTATTTTCTCCCCTGCTTTTTTACATTCTAGTTTAAGCCAGGTGTAAACCCAGGGATGTGATGGCTCAGTGGCTAAGATGCTGAGCTTGTCAATAGAAAAGTTCAGCAGTTCGAATCCCTAGTGCCACGTAACGGGGTGAGCTCCCGTTACTTGTCCCAGATTCTGCCAACCTAGCAGTTCAAAAGCATGTAAAAAATGCAAGTAGAAAAATAGGGACCACCTTTGGTGGGAAGGTAACAGCGTTCCATGCGCCTTTGGCGTTTAGTCATGCCAGCCACATGACCACGGAGACGTCTTCGGGACAGCACTGGCTCTTCAGCTAGAGTCGGGAACCTACTCTATGTGAGAGGGGAACCTTTACCTTTTAAAGAAGGGCCATCACTAAACCTCAGGAGAAGGCCTGCACATTTTGTAGATGGAATGGGCCATACTGATGGCAGCAATAGAGTTGGCAACTCTGGTAAAGCATGGAGACATGTGAGAGTCTCAGCAGTCTGTTTCAGGAGGGCAGGGGCAGAGACTTCCTGATAACTTTGGCAGCAATGAATTTACTGATATGTTTAAAAATGCCAGTGGGCCACACAAGGCCTCATGTTGTACAGGCCTATTCTACAGTTTAAAAGAAAACATGGCCCAGATTTAAGAAAAGAGGATTGGTGTGACCTATTAGGGAAAAGAGCCTTGATAGTACAGTGGTTTAGTGCACCCTGTTATTAACACAGCTGCCTGCAATTTCTGCTGGTTCGAATCTCTCCAAGGCTCAAGGTTGACTCAGCCTTCCATCCTTTCTAAGGTAGGTGAAATGAGGACCCAGTTTGTGGGGGCAATAAGCTGACTTTGTATAAAATATACAAAAGAATGAAGGCTATTGCTTAACGCATTGTAAGCTGCCCTGAGTCTCCGGAGAAGGGTGGCATATAAATCAAATTTAAAAAAAAATAAAAAATGAGAGGATTTAGGGGACAAAAAGAATAAATGTGTTGCAATGAAGAGAGAGATTGAGAATTAAAATATTTACCTCTAAAGTAGATGCCAGGATTGTATCAAAGTCTGGAAGGTGCTTCATGACTTCCAAATATATTTCTCTTGCGTCTAAGGAGTTCACATGCTGAAAAGGGTGGAAAATCATCATATAAATGTTATTCAACTGTACGGTAGATATTTTATTTACCATAATTTAATTGTTTGAAGTAATGTTTTAGTAATTTTTAATGCATTTCAGGAGCCATTTCTGCACTCTCTTGAATAGACAAGATGAAGAAAAAAAAATGTAATAGTAAGAATAAAAAAAAGTTTTATTTCTTTGCATAGCTTATGTTTACTGACACTTCTGATATCTCCTCATTCCTTAAAACATTTCAGTCTTCTTGAAATGACCCGGAATTAGAGAGAACTGTAGAAATTAGATAACTTTTTTTCACTATGTATTCCTTCTTACCCTTACTTAGATCCTATCAAAATTTCAGAATACACAAAGGAATTCCAGAGAGAAAAAAACCCGATTATTTTTCAGAAGTAGGTTGCCACTGTCTCTTTCCTAGGGCTGAGAGAAACTGACTGGTCCAAGATCACCCAATTGGTTTTGTGCCTAAGCAGAACTAGAACTCAAGGTCTTCTGCTTTCTAGCCTGATGCATTAAACACTACATCAGTTACTCAGTATCTACCAATATTAATTATCCTAAATATTTATATTTTGTCCAACATTAGAAAAAGAATAGAATAAATAGAATAAAGTGGTATAGTTAAGCACTGGACACTTTAGTATCTTCAGGACAATTAACTGCCAGAATGCTTACATGATATTAGTACAGGTATATGCTCTCTATAGAAGTAATAGAATAGCACTTAATCTTATATACTGTTCCCATAGTGTTTTGCAGCACTCTGTGACTGGTTTACAATGTTAGCATATTGAGTCCAACAATCTGGGTCCTCATTTTACTGACCTCAGAAACTTGGAAGGCTGAGTCAACCTTGAGTTGGCCAGGATCGAACTCCTGGCAGTGGGCAGAATCATCCTACAACACTGCATTCTAACCACTGCGCCACCAGGGCTCCAATTTGATACCTTCCAGGTATGATGGATGAGAAAGCTGAGCAGTCCAATTAGCAAGATCATGGACAATGCTGCCTAGGGATGATGGTAGTTTAGAACAACATATTTCAAGGGTGCCAGATTGGATAAGTGTTCTCCAATACACAAAACTCTACTCTTTCCCTGGAATGCCAACAATAGCCAAACACGTAAAAAGGAACAAATACCACCTGAGCATAAGCAAAACCTAGGAAGAAAAAAATACTAAGATATTTATTCCTTCATCTCCTCCACCACCACCAACTACTCAGCGTAGGCAAAGGCAAACCAATGGTAAAACTCATACCAAAACACCTCCTTTCTCTTTATTAGTTAAGGTGGCTCCAGGTGGAAAATACGCTGTTGTGCTAGATGAGATATCCAAACTATCACAAAGCTCACCCTGGGTGGCACAGTCCATCCAGCCTACTTTAACCAGGCCTTCCTGTATCAAAAAACAAAAGAAAAATGAAAAACTGAAATCTAACAGAGATATATCACACATCTATTTGAACGGCAGGCATACTTTGCCATTCAGTTCATGCTTTGCTTACAAAACAATTCCATCCCAGGGAGGAGTTAGAAATAATGGCCAAAGCAAAGTTAAATTGAGATAGAGGATTCCAGTATGTATTTAGCTCTCTCCCACTGAAGTCAGTGAGCTTTCCTTTGGGCCAAATTTCACTGGTGTATTTAATATTTTTTAAAAAATAAAAATAAAAATAAAACACCAATGCTTACCAACATGCCAGCCAATTTAAGGCGTGTTCGAGAAGTCAAACAATCTAGATAAATTACATTAAAATAAGTAAACATATTTTTAAAAATATTATATTAATCTACACTAGCATTTCTCAATCTTGGCCATTTTAAAATGTGTGGACTTCAACTCCCAGATTTCCCAGTTAGTGCTGGCTGGGGAATTCTGGGAGTTGAAGTACACACATTTGATTTACATATTTGTATGTCTGTTCAAATACCATTGCACAGCTAAATATTCTTTGGGGGAAATTGTTAAGGTATATTCTCAGCACAAAGAGATTATACAATACTTGGCATTGAATCCTATGAAAAATAGGAGAGATTTCTTCATGTGTCTCAACTGAAATACAGAACATACTAAATCAAGGCAGTAAAGCATCTAAATCATTTTCTAACGATCTATTGTAGTCCTATTTTTCTTATTTAATATTAACACATACACACACCACCCAAAGCTTTGCAGGGAAGTATGAGGGCCTGAAATTTCATATATGGTTCCCTGCCTTGGTTTGACACCAGGATTGGTTTGACATTCAGGGAAGGAGGAAGAGCTGATAACTTCCATCCCTCTGAAAAGATAGATTTACAATAATAGAGAAGGTCTAAACTTAACAAGAAAGAGCAAAGAAAATAGTAATGCAGAGATGAGATTTTAAAAATAGCTTTTCAAAAGACCTGTTAAAAAAGCAAAACCTATTCCTGCAGGGTTATATTATCTAATTACAGAACGCTGCCTCTTGAGGTTCAAAATATTTGAATGAAAACAAATTTAAAAATTCCTATTCTAGATGCAATTCTAAATATTTTCCAGCTTAGTTTCAATTTTAAGTTTCTTTGGCTGTTAGAAGAATTAGAATTTCTCATCCATTCTTTCATAAGCAAACATATAATTTACCTCCTTGTTCAGTACAAAATGTAATTAACCAGCCGATACCAGAAGCAAATGCAGTTTCAACAGTGTTAACAAAATTTCCTAGGGAAAAAAAGAGCAGACTGGATTTAGGAATTTGCACCTATTGTTTAATTATTCATAAGGCTTACATAGTATGATTTAGTTGTAACACAACTTTAAGATATATTTTTTGTAAACATATTTTATAATTTATGAAAGAAGAATATTTGTCTAAAATATAATCACCTATATTCGATCCAATAGTGAACTATTTATTTGTTTAACATCTACTCACTGTCCAAGACTCTGCTTTGGGTGATCTAACATAATAAACACTAAAAGAAACACATATGCAATTTGAAAACAAATACTTATTTAAAAATAAATAAATGCTTACCTGCCCATAGTTCTGTCACCGTGCTTGTGACATACTGCATGGCAAAATTTGTTAAACTCTCCTTTGATCTGTCACCATAAAATTTCACTGGATTCTAAAACAGATTTAGAAAAGCATCCAATTTTAAAACAGTATTTTGTGGTCACACATGTTAACCATTATTATTCTTGGGAACTTATTTATATCCTTGATCTTTGCTACAGAAAGTTTCTTTTTGGATTTTAGAAGAGGAATCTGGAATAGAAACTGAATACATAACATTATTACCTTATTGATACTATAGTTCTTCTCCTAGTTGAAACACTAAAAGGGTCTACAAAATACAAACAGCTGCGCCTAAGCAGAACAAAGCAACAATCTGTGCTATATCCTGTCCATTTAGCCTTTACAGATTTGACACTTTCTTTGCAATTGGAAAAAATCAGGGTTTAAATTGCTTAGGGTTTTGGATTATGTAGGGCCTTTTCTTCCCATTTTCTGGAACCAAGGAGGTAATCCTTCTTATCTCTGCTCAATATGAAGGTTGGGGACAAACACTGTAAAAAAATTTGGGGAGCAGGATACCTTGTACCTCTTTCGTGCACTGTCTTAAGTCTTTTCAGTATCAACATATGAACAGGCCTACTGTTTCAAGTCTCCTCTCAGCATCAAATGCCTTCTATCATACTTCCTTCAAAAGAAGGCAATTCTAAGTTTATGACCACTGAAAACGGGACAGAAAAAAAATCTGCATATTCTGAGAAAATCTAAGACAACCTTCTCATTTAAGAAACCTTCCTTTCAATGTTGAGATACCCTCTCGCAATAGTACTTAGGCTTGAGGTTACACATCTCCATGTAACTAGGACAAGCTTTGGCCCCAAGTCTCTAATAAATGGGGAAAGCCTTTTTTTCCTGCCAGAGATCCCCGAGTACAGTGGAGTTACTTCAAATGCTCCTCTATGGAATGGAATGGGATGCTAGGTTCTGTGCCTACTTACCATTCCACTTTTGAACACGTAGAGGCTGGGGTAGCTATTGATTCCCTTATTCCGGCAAAGCATTCTATTATCACCACAGTTGACGGCGCCAATGCGTATTAATCCATCCATTTCTTTAGCAAATTCTCTCCACTTCAAATGAGAAAAAAATATATGATTATTTTTTAGCTTTTTACCCCATTTGGAAATGCTTAAAAAACATTATGATGCTTAAAAAACAGTATGATTTCAATATATGTTCCCTTAATTGTAACTCAAATATAGCTTTGCTAATATTGTTTACAAAAACCCACTTTTTCTTCTTAGCTTAGGTCATCACACATACAAGCACATTCCTTACTCTTGTTCTACATTGCTACATGCTCTCATGGATTGTCAAAGTGGCAGAATAATTTTTTATATGACTCCTAGCAGAACTATTTCAGAAGAAATGGTGGCAGACTGCAAGACATTGCCTATATTCTTGCCAAAACATGCAATACAGCTTCACATGGGCCAAACTGGAGGTCATTGTATTGCAGAAATATAGTCCTGCTCCATGCCAGAAGAATGCAGCTTCCTCTTATTCTCATGCCACAAGGAAAGTCTTCACTGTTCCCCTCAATCAGCCCTCTAGGATTGTATCCTCACACAAACACATATACAAACACACACACAAACAGGGACATAAATTTAATGACAACACACCTACAGTGGCAACCTACCGTGGGTGCTAAATCATGGCAATGTGAACATCGAGGAGAATAGAAATTTACAAACCACAGTTCTCCAGAACCAACAGCAGCATCTATTAAAAAAGAAAGAATGATGACGAAAAACATTATTTTTACCACTGAATAATTTCCAGGCAAACATAGTGGGAACATGAGGATTAGCCTAGTCTTCTCCTAAACCAACATCCTCCAGCTGAGTAGGAACTTTTCATGTCTTCCAGTCAACATGCTGCTGATCTAGAGATGATGGGAATTGAAGGAACATATATGTGGAAGGAATTGGAGTATCTCCGTAGCCCATCAACATTGGGGGAGGGTGATATGCTTACAGTAGGGGTGTCAAACTCAAACCCGTTGTGAGCCGCATTGTGATTTTGTTTGTCCTTGGGGGCTGGGGTGGGTGTGGCCTGGTTGTCGTGGCTGACTTGGTCGGCATGGCTGGTCCCAGAGTAGCAGGGGCCGTCCCTTGCTGTTTACAGGATGGCCCACAGGCCAATTCTGTGGCCTATTGTGGGCCGGATTCAGCCCACGTGTTTGACACCCTTGGCGTACAGAATGTAAGTATTAAAATGAGACTGAAACTTGCAAGTTCCAGTTGAACAACAACTCCCATCAGCCAAAGTTACTTGCCTTGTTGATTGAGAAGAAACTAGATTCCCTCCCCTAATTTAAAACACGCAATACATGGCTAATTACCGTAGATTTAAAGATGACCAGATCAGCAGAACCTAACACCTCCACTGAAAGTTAGCCTATATTAGAAACACTAATAAGAAATAAAAAAGTACTGGGTACTTTTGAAAACTAAATGCTGGATTTGGCAGAGCCTACTACAGTTCAATTAACTATTCTGGTATACATTAAGAAAACTGCTGGAAGAACAGGTCTCAAATTAATGCTACAAAAATGGTTGAGAACACTCTGTCATGGAGGAGTGAAGTTCTTTTCCCTAGTTTCCCCTTTGAATAAAAGTTGATGGGAACCTTGCTCTTTATAAGTGGAACTGCTCAGATCCTGGACCAAAGGAAGGAATACATAGATCATGCCTGGCATCTCAATTATAGTTGCCCAGAGTATATTTTGGCATTCCACTTCTTACAAATCATCATGCCAATTTATGAATCTTATGAATATATGCTCACTTAAAAGTCAACTTAAGATGCATACCATATTCATTTGGCAGGGCAAAAACAGAAACAAAGGGAAAGAATTAATATTAATATCTACTGTAGGATGAAAACAGCATTATGGGCATAAGAGCATGAAGTATGAGAGTATTGGCCTAAAAGCAGAGAGACCAATGTTTAAGTTCAGCCTCAGTGACAGTAGCTCGATCGTTATCACACTTTCTCTGTCTACTCAACCTGATAGGGTTGCTGATGTAGGAGAAAGAGGAGAGCTATGTGCCCTTTGACCTCCAAAATGAAAGGCAGGATGTAATACACCCACTCCTCGTTTAGTAACCACCTTGATTAGCGATTATTCACAAATACAACATTAAAAAAAACATGTTACAACTAATGGGTGCACATATGACCAAATTTCTACGCCTGACAACAACTGATGCCAGAGTGAGAATGCTGATATTGCCTGATCAGAGAATTTTATCTGAATGAAATGACAGCAAGCAGTGATCTTCACAAAGTGTGTATGTCTCTCTCAGTCAACTAATGGCCATTTCACTCAGTGTTTGTTTCACTTCCAATTTAATAATTGCAATCACTAAATGAGAGGGTGCAAATAAAAAAAATTGAAGATCACCTCACATGGATTCTGAATGACATTCTGCTATCTGTACAGTTACAACAAAAAAGTCATAAAAAAACAACACAATAAAGAAATTGGAAAGCAGAAATGTTAGGAAATTACAAGATCACATATCACTTACCAAATTCTCCTCTATCTAATGTTATGATTTCAGGATCATCATCATAGATACCTGGTAAAAAAACCATTCAGTTAGCATTTTTAGAAGTCCATTTAATCCAGCTATACAACATTTAAAAACTAATAACCAATTACTACTCCTCTGCTCATATATACTTAAGAGACCATTAATTCATGAATAGTGAGAGACTTTAGGTTCTAGTATTTTCTTTCTTAGAATATTTTATAATAACAAAAACTCATCAATAGTGACTATAATACATCTTTTTAAAGCAGGGAAGTTACATTTCATTCATACATACAGTGTACATTTTTATTTTTGGCTCAAGTGAAATTAAGCTTCATAGCTCATTCTGACACACATAATAATATTGTCAAGCTTCTAACAGCACAGAACAATGAAAAAAAGATTCATCTCATTAATTTGGCTTATTGTCAAGAATACAAAATACAAAAACTTGGAAAGAAACCACCAGTGCAGCACTTATTTGTGAGTATATTAAGACAATGTTTGAGACACACTTGAACTTCTTTTTCCCTTGTGAGACCAAAGGGCTAACCATCTTTTTCGCCAGATAAGACTTACACTGAAATATCCATCTGCTTATTATTGTTTTGAAAGGCTCCCATTTTTATCCCAGCAACAGAGATCTACCTTAAAAAGGGCATGGAATGTTGTTTGTTGAGATGGCTGGTTTAAGAGTATACCTCTGTCCATTTTGTTATAGGATGCAGATAATTGAGAATTGTGTGTATCAGGAGAGACATAAAGGCAAGTTACATGCAGTAGGAACAGGATATTTAGAAAATGTGTATGGTAAAACAAGAAAATATAGCATGAACAATAACTCTCAAATGATTCTGGGTGTTGAATAAATGCAAGCAGAGCACAAAATCAAGGGAACCACACTGAGTTGATTTAACTCTAAAAGAGAATGAATGAGAACTGAATTGTGAAACATATATGAAGAAAGAGCTTAAGGGAAAAAGGAAGACTATCAAAGTTGTGGTTAAATATAGAGTTCCTCAGAAAGAAGGTTGGAAGTGTAAGAAAATAACAGACAATACACAAAGCAATATAAGGATGCAATGGAATAATTCGCAAGGACAGAAAGTAAGGAAAGATAAAATGGCTAGTTATTTGTATAAACCAGAGGTGTCAAACTCACGTTGTCATGGTGGGGTCACTATACTGATCGGGATTTTTTTCCCCTTCACTAAATTGGGCATGGGTATGGCCAACATGTGACATAGCTGGCCTGTGGCTAGGTCACAAACTAAACCAAATTTAGTTTGCCTTCCTTTTCTCTTATATAGCCTCCCCACAGCTCCTTTAATTTCTTTTGCTTGCTATTTCGCATTCTTTGTCTGCATTATCTGACACAGAAGGCATATATTTGATATGCATGTATGTATGTATGGCTCGTTAATGGACTGTCAGTTGGCCATCCATACCAAGAAGCAATTTTAAATGGAGACTTACTCAATCTGAAAGCAGTCTGAGAACCTACTATGAAACAACTCATTAAAAACTCTGATGGCAAAACAAATTTAATATAGTGGATGTCCTATTCCCAAAGTAATTAAAAAAGCCAAATATACATAATATGCTATCACGTAACATCCACACTCCTAATTAAGACTTAAATTCTCCTACACCTTTAGTGTGCAAATTAGGGCAATATTTTCCTTTGAAGTTTTTTTTTTTGTTTGTTTTTTGTTTACAAATGAACCACAGAAAATAGGTTACGATTCAGTTTTGCCTACAAGAAAACATCTTACCAAAATCATAGCGGTAAAAGTGCCAGCTTTCATAGCGACCTCCTTCCTGGTGATCTTCCAGACCTTTTTCACCATATTTATCATACTTCTTTCTCAGATCTTCATCTTTTAATACTTCATATGCTCGGTTTATTTTCAAGAAATTTTCATGTGCCTCTGGATTGTTCTGGAGAAAGAGCACTGGTGTTAAAACTAAAATATTGAGGAAAAACATTGAAATCTGCTCAGGACATTTCAATTTTCAAAAATGTACTGACTCTGGCATTGCATTAATTTTTAACTGCCTTATACACATATCGAGAGAACTCATTACATTTTTTCAGCTGAAGACATTACCTAGGATTCTGACAAGTGCTAGGCAGGATGGGCTATGACAAGGCAGAAGATAATTTGCCTATTACCACCTCATCAGCAATATCACAACTTTGTTACAGTAGGGGGTGTGAGTGTGTCTGGATGAATTTTTTAAGTGAACTGTAGCATGAGAATTAACAAGCAGTTGCTCATATGACTTTTAAGTTTCTATACATGTTGGTATAATTTTGCTCCTTTCGGAACCTTTTCATTTATTTCTCTATCTATAGCTCACAAATCACACAGGCAACTTCTCAGAGAACTTGAAAGACAGCTAAGGATAGGTTGGCAGAAATCTCACCTCCTCCTCCTCATTGGCCAACATTTTCAGGATCTGAGCTTGAAGTAGAACAAACGTAGCTATGGGTATATGGCTATGGGTATACCACAGCATTAAGACAGATTCTATTGTTGGGTGTGTAATTCAAGTAAGAAATGTCACATTGCACAGCAAACCTGCACAAGATTTGACTATTTCAAAAGGAACACCAGCTGCTCATTTTATAGAAACGCATGCACAGTGTTGTCACAGTGATTATTATTACTGATGGCCGACTGGGGGTCTGATTACAAAAATAATGGATTTATCATGCATCCTTGTAGTTTGCTGCATTACATTTCATGGATCTATTATTATTTACCCTGAAGCTATAGATTAGTGTTTCTCAACCATGGCAACTTTATGATGCTGGCTGTGGAATTCTGGGAGTTGAAGTCCGCTTATCTTAAACTTGCCAAGGTTGAGAAACACTGGTATAGATTATATAATCAAATAGATTTGACTACAACCTCTGGAACTGCAGTCCACAATTAAGAAGCATCAGGTTGAATATAAATATGAGCCACGGTGGTGCAGAGGTTAGAGTGCAGTATTGCAGGCTATTTCTGCTAACTGCTAGCTGCTTGCAATTTGGCAGTTCGAATTTCACCAGGCTCAAGGTTGACTCAGCTTTCCCTCCTTCTGAGGTGGCTAAAATGAGGACCCAAATTGTCAGGGGCAACAGGCTGACTTTGTAAACCGCTTAGAGAGGGCTGTCAAGCACTGTGAAGTGGTATATAAGTCTAAGGGCTAATGCTAATGAAGAGAAATGGCTTCTTGGAAGCAGAAAAAAAAAAGAGAAGTGCTAACTGCGGAAGTTGTAAGAGTTTCATGGGTATTTTCCCTTTCGATTATATAGGAAGCTCAAGACTGAACAACTATAACGTAATACATTGTACTTTTTGAAACAATTATACCAATTAATCATGAAATATGTATTACAACAAGATATTTAAACATTTGCATTTACATTTCTTAGTTAACAGGAAAACATTTTCTGACAAGCCGACCTACCTGGTTCTTATCAGGATGCAGCTTTAGAGCCAACTTTTTGAAAGCCTGCCTAATTTCCCTACTTGTTGCTTCTTTGGATATTCCAAGTAAACTGTAATAATCTTGAGTTGGGTCAACTAAAGCTACAAGCCATATTAAAAGGAAACACATGGAGACAATTTTTATAAAGTCTCTGACGCATTGTCTTTTGGGAAATGAAGTCTCCATTATGAATATCTTAGTCAAGTATACTTCACAGCAGATTTAACAGCTCTCACTCTGATGTAACCTGGACTGCATATATTTCTGAAGAAGCTTCTTGTAGGATTTTTGCTGTCATAATCCAAGCATAGAAATGTATGCTTAAGTAGACTGGGCCTAGGGGAAACAACAAACAGATTTTAGGTTCTTTATGTTCTACAGCAAATTCATGACGCGAGTTCCCTCAGTGGTTCCCCCCGTTTTCTCTAAAGCATTCAACACAACTCTGCTGTTTCTATCTTGTTCTGCAACTGTGCATGTAAAGAGACATAACTGGAACTTCCTCAAATTTAATTTCTTTTCTTTGTTGCTGTAAATTGTTCATATCCTTCTTGGCCCAAAATTTCCTGCACTGATAGTGCAATAGTGATAATAGACAGTACAACAAAAGTACAAAAATGAGCCTTTCTTTTGGAGTGAGCAGGAGAAGCTATGACTGCAATGTCTAGCCTAATGAAGAGAAGGACTAGGGGTGACATGATAGCAGTCTTCCAATATTTGAGGACCTGTTACAGAGAAGAGGGAGGTCAAACCTATTCACCAAAGCACCTGAGGATAGGACAAGAAGTAACTGATGGAAACTAATCAAAGAGAGATTCAACCTAGAACTAAGGAGAAAATTTCTGACAATGAGAACACTTAACTAGTGGAATGGCTTGCCTTCAGAAGTTGTGGGTGCTCCATCATTGGAGATTTTTACGAAGAGACTGGACAAGTACTTGTCTGAAATGGTATAGGGCAGTGATAGCTAACCTTTTCCGGACTGAGTGCCCAAAATGTGTGTGCGTGGAAACCCCCAAAATGCAGTGTGTGCAGTACCCCCCTGCATGCTCCCTCCCCCTGCACATGCACGCACGCATCCCCCCATGCGCTCCATCCCCAAGCAGGTGCGGCAGAGACCAAAAGACCAGCTGGCCAGCGGGAGGCATGCACGCATGCACGGTGGAGCTGAACTGGGGCAACGGCTCACGTGCCATAAAAGAGGGTGATGGGTGCCACCTCTGGCACGTGCCATAGGTTCCCCATCACGGGTATAGGGCCTTCTGCTTGAGTAGGGAGTTGGACTAAGACCACCAAGTTCCCTTCCAACTCTGTTATTCTGTATTCTCATTGAGTGTAAAACAGGCCATATATTAGGAGTACCCAGTCAAAAGAGAAAGAAAGAGGAAGAATCATAACCTTAGTGACAAAGCATATACTGGGCGCTGGAAGAAAGTTCCAGGTTCTCTCCTTACATAATCAGTTGAATGTAATTAAGGAACCATGAAGCAAGTGACAGGAAAGTCCATTGCAAAAGAATCTGCCAGCACTTGCCTAGAAAGACAATTAATTGGTTTTGGAATAAGGTGGCCTCCATGTAATAAATTATTGAGAACCAGTTTTTATTCAATTTGGTTAAGACACCAGGTTAGAAGCCAGGAAACTATAGGCTCTAGCCTGGCCTTGGGTACGAAAGCGGGCTGGGAGACTTTGGGCCAGTCACTCTTTCTCAGTTCATGGTTAGGAGACAAGCCTAACCTAAAAGAGCCTGGATAGCTCTGCAGACTAAGCACTGTAATTTAACACCAGCTGTCTGCAATTAAAGTAAGTTCGAATCTTGCCAGGCTCAAGGTTGACTCAGCCTTCCATCCTTTCTAAGGTAGGTAAATTGAGGACCCAGTTTGTGGGGGCAATAAGCTGACTTTGTATAAAAATATACAAAAGTATTAAGGCTATTGCTTAACGCACTGTAAGCCGCCCTGAGTCTCCGGAGAAGGGCGGCATATAAACCAAATTAAAAAAAAAAAAAAAGCCAGCTAAACAAATCTTGTTGCAACCAAAGTATCAGCACTCCGATGATGTGAAAAAAGCAGACCTTGCACTTGCAGAAAAAATGCTAGGAAGAAAAAGATCGTAAGAAATCATTCCCGAAAGGCAGAGATGGGACTTTAAGTACTTTAACTTGAGGAAAGTGTTACCAACCAATAGAAAATGTAGAAATGCACAAACAAATCTTTCTTGGGCCAGTTCAAGCCCTGCAGTTTGCTATAAATTAGGGAGGAATCATCTGTCAATCAAATTCAAAACTTGAAGGATTCCAGGATTATCAAGAACCCTAAAAAGCTGCCTTATATTTAATTTATTCAATTGATTTTTATATTGTTTCCCCTTTAGCCATATCTTAAATCAGTTATTTCTGTGTTTTTAAAATGCAATAATAAAATAATGAAAACTATGAAAAACAGAAGAAAATAAAACCATTTGTGTATAACGTTTTTTTTTTTTTTAAATTTGATTTATATGCCGCCCTTCTCCGAAGACTCAGGGCGGCTTACAATGTGCTCAGCAATAACGTTCATTTAGTGAAGGCTTGAATGAAGAGATAAGTTTTCAACAAGGATCTAGGTGGCTCAGTAGCTAAGACACTGAGCTTGTCGATCAGAAAGGTCAGCAGTTCGGCAGTTCGAATCCCTAGTACAGGTCTCCTGCGTGAGCAGGGGGTTGGACTAGATGACCTCCAAAGTCCCTTCCAACTCTGTTACTGTTACTAACAAAATATAAATGCCCCGTAGGTTTCAGGGGGAAGATCATTTTAGAAAGCTGGGGCCACCATAGGCTCGACTATGAGTAACCAGAAAATGGCATTCTGCCAAACCCAGCAGTTTCAAGAGGACTTCTCTAATGTTTGATAGGATCTACATCCTGGTCCCAGTTTGTTTACATCCTTGTTTGCCAGAATCAAAATTTTAATCCTAGCTTGATAAACTAACCGGTAGTCAATACAGTTGCTTTAACAGAGGATATGGCCAAATGAGCCATTTGGTGTTCCAATATTACATTCCACATCTATTTCCAGATCCAGCAAGAGCAAAAGCACACATTATACTGCATTACAACAATCTAACTGTGAAGCATTCAATACATGGATTAATGGAGTTAGACGGTTGAGGCAATTAGCTCTTCTAGCCCAGTAATACAGTAATTTATCAGAAGTTCTACACGACACTTTCTCAGCCTTTGAGCATGTGCTCTTTTGCACACAAAGCTACACCCTGCCAGAATAAATGCCTGCACAGTAAGGAAAAGGCTCACCTATTTATTCCTGTGCTTCAAAGGCAGAAGCACTCCAGCAAAGCAGCTTTACAAGATTCAGATGAAGCGTGGCTACAGGAAATGAGCAAATGCACTCACATGTAGTTTACCCTGAGGAGAAATCAACAGCAGAATGAGTGAAAGACTACATACTAAAATCTTCAAAAACAAGTTTTTGAAAAAAACTAAGGGAAGTATAAATGTGATACTTTAAATATTAACATTCCTCCATCCAAGGTCATGGCTTGAAAACTAAGTCGCTGCAAACCTGGTTCTTTAAAAATATTAACAAAGCTGCCATCTTGAGACTTAATAGATCTTCAGTCCTTTCCAGAGCACTAATAATCCACCTTGCCTTTGTGGGGGACTGATGAAACAATACAAACGCTGCTTTTGGGCATGCAATTTGATGCCATCCAGGTGCATGTTTAGGCCATTCCCATGGGTCCAAGCCAGAAAAAACCAAGGGCAAAGGATTATGGAAGCCATCATCCGAAGCAATTCTCTCTCTATACAGATAGTCCTTGATTTACAACAGTTCATTTAGTGACGGTTCAAAGTTACAAAGGCACTGAAAAAAGTGACTTTGGACCGTTTTTCACAGTTACAAGCATTGCAGCACCTCCATGGGCACCCGATCAAAATTCAGACGCTTGGCAACTGATGCATATTTACGACCGTCACAGCGTCCCCGGGGTCATGTGATCCCCCTTTTGCAACCTTCTGACAAGCAAAGTCAATGGGGAAGTCAGATTCACTTAACGACTGTTATTAAACTTAACATCTTAAGGGATTCACTTAACAACAGTGGCAATAAAAAAGTCACATCTTGTTTAACAAATGTTTCACTTAGCAACGTTAAGTCCATAAATCCGTCGTACTAATTTAACTGCGGCGATTCACTTAACAACTGGGGCAAGAAAATGGGGGCAAAACTCACTTAACAACTGGTCTCGCTTAGCAACCAAAATGTTGGGCTCAACTGGGGGTCCGTAAGTCGAGGACTGGCTGTAGCTCCAACTTTAATTTGGCTGTCTCTCTCTCTCTCCATAATCCTTAAAGAGAAGAAAGTTGCACTTGCTGGCACCCCCACTGGGGTTAGGGTGGGGCGGAGGACCGAGGGAAACCAGCCAAAATCACATTCTAATTGCAAAACTCTTGGCTTATTCCTACAAAAAAAATAAAAATAAAAAATAAAGAGGGCGCCATCAATAGCGGATAGGAAGCGGAGTAGGAGCGTCTGGAGAAACAATGCAACGGCTCCCCCGGCCTAAAGGCTTGGAAAACCATGGAGGAAAGGCTTTAAAACACCCCCAGAAAATGCCTCCGTGCGGGGATTTAAAACGAGCAAGGCATGCCCGGGCTGCGGAGGATGCGGTGGGAGAAAAGAAGGCCTACTACGCTCAGAAGAAGAGCCAGTGGGCGGAAAAGGAAAGCGGAGTGGAAGAAGCGGGAGACAAATCGAGCCCTCCAACTAAAGAAAGGAAAGCCGGGAGACTTTCCCCGCAAGCAGCCGGACTGAGAATCGGGGCAGCCGGAAAGCCAGGGGTGCTTGGCGGCTCTATCTATTTATCTTTTATCTTTCCCAGGCCGCGGGCGGTGGAGCGGAGGCAGCTGCAGCTGCAGCCGGAGTCCTTACCTGATGCTGGAGGATCCTTGCCTGCTGGTGCCGGCGCGGGGGAGGAGCCGGAGCTGCAGCCTGGAGCAGTGGCGAAGACGGGAGGAAAAGCCAGGCGGCGGATCCGGTTCGCGGCCGGAGGAGGAGGCGGCGGGCGGGGTTGGGAAAGGCAAAACGGGCTGACGTGGCTGCAGCTCCGACCGCCGAGTCTCCCAGGGGAGGCGCGGGTGGGGGGGGGGGGGGCTCAGGGGGGGGGGCCCTTGGGGGGGGGGGGAGGAGGGGGCTTCCTGGTCCAACCCCCCCTCTTGCAAACTTACAAAAAGTAGCTTTGGAGGAGGAAGTGCAGGGCAGGCCCCTCCGCATGGCTGCTCCGAAGCCAACCCCCGGCGCTAAGGAGCGAGATCGCGGCCTCCCCTATTATTGAATCCTCTTCCGTTGGTTCGCTTCTTCTGAAGCAAATGCCTCCTTGCGGCATTTACTCCGAAGTAAACTTGACTAAAACCCGATGCGATTGACCGGGAGGGTGCGTGGGGGGTGGGGGTGGGGGCTTCTTTGTCCTTATAACAAGTAGTTAGTAGTTGCTCAAACCAGAATCCGAATCCGAATAGACCTGGAAGGGACCTTAACAGTAACAGAGTTGGAGGGGACCTTGGAGGTCATCTAGTCCAACCCCCTGCTCACGCAGGAGACCTGTACTAGGGATTCTCGAACCGCCGACCTTTCTGATCGACAAGCTCAGTCTTCTAGTCTAGGGGTCTGCAACCTTAAACACTCAAAAGAGCCATTTGGACCTGTTTCCCACAGAAAAAGAAAACACCGGGAGCCACAAAACCCTTCCCGTGCCTGACTATTTCTTGAGCGGCCACGAAACTAGCATACCTAGTTGAATTAAACATTCTGTTTTCTTCTGAAACTTTTCTTGGATTTATCCATGGTTGGCCTAACCGGGGGTTGAAACGCTCAATAAATCGTGTGCTGGTGGGTGTCGCACATCGGCATTTTGAGTGACAGCCGCAGCAGAGGGGTGAAAGAGCCACATGCGGCTCCAGAGCCACAGGTTGCTGACCCCTGTTCTAGTCCAACATCCCCCCCCCCCGCTCAAACAGGAAGATCCTATGCCATTTCAGACAAAAGTGACTATCCAGTATCTTTAAAAAAACCTCCAGGGATGAAGCTACCCACTACTTATGAAAGCGAGCTGTTCCACTGGTTAAAATGGCGACTTCCATGCCATAAAGATGCGAGATCCCCGGCCTCTTTTGTACCTGGACAATGAATGGCCCCTTTTCTGGCTTTACGTTTAGCTTTGCTGTGTTTGCTTAGAGATAGTTGCTGTTGGCTTCTAAACCCGCAGAACAAGTGTTTGTTTGAATGGATGGATGGAATGGGGGGGGGGGGGAAGTGTTTGAGATGTTTCGCCCCCTTCTTTTTTCTTCTTCTGTTATTATTATTTACTGGCAATAGATGTCAAAATTAGTGGATGGGAAGAGAGAGAGAGGGCTTTTTTTTTTTTTTTGCAGCCCTGCTCATTAACATCCCACACAACTGCTTATCACTCCCACACGCAAAGAGAAGTTGGCACCATGGCCAGGTTCCTTGGTTTGGAGATGTCTTCGCAAAGCAAAGCATCTTTAATGCCGGGGAGGGAGGCTGACCTTCGTTTCGTATAGCTTCTGTCTTGGTTAGGGGTGTAAGTGGCTTTCTCCCACATAAGGAAAGCAGAGGAACTCTGGTCTTAGGCTTCAGTGGGAATCCAGGTGTTATTCTGACTTGAAAACGAAAAGGTCTGGATGGACAATGAGAGTTAATAAAGAATGCGGGTGTTGAATTTTTGCTCCTTTAACATAAGCTGGGTACCGTAACGTTGCCCCTTAAATTTGGTTTTTGACTTGGACAGCCCAGCGATATACGGGTAGCCCTCGACTTACAACAGTTCGTTTAGTGACCATTCAAAGTTACGACGGCACTAAGAAAGTGTCTGATGACCAGTTTTCACAGTTACGATGACCTTTTCAGCAATCCCATGGTCATGGGATCAAAACTCAGATGGTTGGCAACTGGTTCATATTTATCACCATGGCTGTGTTCTCAAGATCATGTGACCGCCTTTTGTGACCACCTGACAAGCAAAGCCAATGGGGAAGCCAGATTCCCAGGTTTACTAATTTATCAACTACAGTGATTCACTGAGACTAAGAAAGGTCATAAAATGGGGCAAAATTGATTTAACAAATGACTCACTTAACAGTATAATTTTTTTTTTAAAATTTGATTTATATGCCGCCCTTCTCCGGAGACTCAGGGCAGCTTACAATGCGTTAAGCAATAGCCTTCATACTTTTGTATATTTATACAAAGTCAGCTTATTGCCCCCACAAACTGGGTCCTCAATTTACCCACCTTAGAAAGGATGGAAGGCTGAGTCGACCTTGAGCCTGGTGAGATTCGAACTCGTAATTGCAGGCAGCTGGATGTTAAATGCAGCTTTTGAGGGGTTAGTTGTGGTTGTAAGTCGAGGACTACCTGTAATGACCTCTTCTTAATTGATATTCTGATATTCATGATATTCTGGAAAAGGTGGGATGGTTACATTCATGTCTTAGATATGCTGGAGGAAAATATCATTCCAGGTGAAATGATCACATAGCTGGATAAATTTTGCCAAAGCATTCTTCTGCGTAGAAGTTCTAACTCTTGCTAACTTTCACAGACTTGAAAAGTCTATTGTGGTCTTTGTCTGTAGAATTAAAGTTAATTTGGGAAATATGACAAGCCAAACTACCGAAAGAGATCCTTACACATTTTAGCCTTAAGATTTGGAAACAGCAGTTAGTGCAATTTGATAGTATTTTCAGCCTTTTCTGCTGTAAGGAACCCAAAGCAGAAGTCCCAAACATGATTACGTGTCTTTAAAGTTTAAAGCCTGTTTCACTTTGCTCAAGAATTTAACAGCTCTTGGGACAAAAAAAAAAAAAGTATTCCTGCTCTTGGCATAGATATTGTACATAATGATCAGCTTTTTTTCCTTCTTTCTTTTTCAATTATGTAAGTATCCTTAAACACATTATTCAGGAATAAACAATTGAGAAACTTAAATTTAAAATAAATATATTAGCAAATCAAATTTCAAGAACATTTACCAAGTTTGCATTTATTTTTCCAGTCCAGTTTTTCTTTTTAACAATGAGAATTACTTTGTTTTCCAATCCAGTTCAAACCAGACTGTACTTCATCTTTTTTAAATAGGTAATTTATATGGCATTGTGCAGATGGCAGCCCCAGATAAGAATCCATTTCAACTGTGCAACTTGCTGGGAAGTGATTTTCTTTATTAGACAATATCAGTGCTTAAACACAAGAGGGCGCTCTGATCACATTTGTTTTCTGATGGGAGAGAAATTTATTTTTATGAGGTATGAAATGAAATTTTACCAAATATATATATCTAAGATACTAGATCCTTTCATGTGAACATTAGTTATGGAAAAAAAAATCATGTTTGGCACATTTACCATGCTGACTAGTACAGATATGCAATATATGTTTAGGTACCTATAGTTGCAAAATGTGTACATAATTCATAATAATTTATTAGACACTCTAAATTTCACATATGTCCACTTAGGAGCATGGGTACTATAAACATGTTTATGAAGCCTATACATTTTGCACATCCAAAAATCTGTTCAACAAACTAATATGCAATTATAAGAAAATGTCCAAATACCTGAATTTTATGATGAAGTTCACAATTCAAATTAAGTGTACAAAACTGAATATTGAAGATAAGTGCAACAAAAATAGATATTTATGGAAAATAAGTTGCATATATTATATCTATGCATATATTAGGAGACAAGCTCACAAAAATAGGTGCACGTTTTCAAATTGACTTACGTGAGGAAAAAATATGCGGAATCAAAATATAAGAAACATGAAATGGAAAATATTAAAAATAATGTGAAATCAAACTTGGTGAAGTCAAGCATTCAACTTTGTTTCTGCCAAATGTGCCATTCAGGAACTCAATACTCTTGAAATATGTTCAGACAGAGTCAACAATCTGTTAAATTGTATATGTGGGTAAACATCTTTGCTATTTGAAGTTGTAATGGCAACTTCTTTATTTAGTGGTCTGTATGAGGATTTTGTTCTGATCATTTTTGAGCTATTGATTGCTTTCAAATGCTGTTGACTTTCTACTGTATGGACAAAAGCCCCCAGGATCATTTCCCGGGAGAAAAAAGTCCACCCACATTATCTTCCAACAATATTAATGAATAGGGTTAAAAAAAAACCAAGCACTTGCACAATTATTAGTTTAGGAAATATTGTCCCACACTCAACTGTACTACCTTGCTGTGACTCTAAACTGGAGAACATCTGTGCTAATAAATTATATTAAAAGAAACAAGGCCTCTTTTAAGTAAGTAGGTTCATAGCATTCTGGAGAAACTATCTCTCTCTTAATACCGGATCCAGCAATTTATACCAATTCAGCAACATGTGGAAGACTTGTAATATATAGGGTTATATATCTTGAGTCTTGGCTGAATTCCCACTTGTACTACTTGTATCCTCCCTCTCAGCATCAATACAATCCTGAATCTATTTATTTAGGTGTAAATATCTCTGAGTTCAATGGCCTTGTTTCCTCTCTAATCGGTCCGCTTCAGATAAATACTCTGAGGACTTAGTGAGAAATTGTCAGAATTGCTTCTACCCTTTCTTCAAAATGAGCATTCATTTGTAGCTTAATCTTCAAAAAGGAAACCGTAAAAGGCAACAAAAGAAATCCTGTACTTGCTCTAGAATCAAGGCTTTTGGACAGAACATAGCAAGGTATTAGTAGCTAGCCTTCTCCTAATCAGGTTAAGGGATGGTGGACTTGCATGATTAATTTCCCTGTCTTTCATATTCAATTGAAGGAGCCAATTTGTTTTTAGTGAATGTGCCTTTGAGGAAGTCAGTACTGTTGAAATACAGCAATAGCAATAGCACTTAGACTTATATACTGCTTTACAGTGCTTTACAGCCCTCTCTAAGCAGTTTTACAGAGTCAGCATATTGCCCCCAACAATCTGGGTCCTCATTTTACCCACCTCGGAAGGATGGAAGGCTGAGTCAATCTTGAGTCAACCTTGAGCCTGATGAGATTTGAACTGCCAAAGTGCAG